CGATCGGGCTGGAGGGGCGCCGGCCGACCGGCAGCCGCTGTGTGCCCGTGCGCCGCACGCCTGCTCCTGCGGCACGCGCATGTGTTGCCAGCACATGCAGGGCACGCAGGGCCACCCCTGGAACGTGTGTAGCTGTTGGAACAGTTGGAATGCTCCCCAGACGATGGCACGCAGCCGGGCCGCCAGCCCCCCGCCGCTCTCCGCCTCGCCTGCACAAACGCATGCACACGCGCCTGCTACGTCCCATTTATTGTTTTGCAGGACTTTGTGGTGGCTGAGCACGCCCACCTGCTGGGATCCTCCTCCCTGCCCATGATCCGGGAGCTGTTTGCGGCGGACGCCGCCGCCGCCGCCGCGGGCGGCGCCGCCGCCGACTCAATCGCCGCCTCGGCCGGCAGCGAGCTGCCCAGCCCCAAGAGGGTGGACCCCAAGGCGAGGCTGGGCGGTGCCGCCGGGATAGGCGGTACTGGGGACGCCGCCCTCGCGGCGCGGTTCGGCGGCGGCTGTGGAGGGCTGGGCTGGCCGCTGCGGGGCCGGCGCGTGGCTCCGAGCGACGCTGCCTCCTTCCGCCTGGCATCCCGCTTGCCCTGCCAGCACCGCCCGCCTGCCTGGCTGCCAATGCCCGCCGCCCGCCGCGCCCCTGCCCTGGCTGCAGGGCCGCCGCTCCGCCTTCATGCTGTCAAGCGTGGGAGCCCGCTTCCGAAAGCAGCTGGCCGGGCTGATGGGCACCCTGGGGCGCTGCCAGCCGCACTACATCCGGTGCGCGAGGAAGAAACAGCCGCCAGCCCGCCGCCGCCGCGCCCGCGCCGTTGCCATGCCTGCGCTTGCGCCTGCGCTTGCCGCCGTCGCCGCCGGCACACGCTCAGCGTGCCCCGCGGCACCGAGCCGCCACCCCTTGCTGCCCGTCGCCCGCCGCCCTCCCGCCTGCCGGCGCGGTTTACTTGGTGGTGGTTTCTGGCCCGTCTCTCCTCCTGATTACCTCCTGGGCCAGGCCCGACATGCCGCCCTTTTCCACCCGCCCTGCTATTCTCCCCACCCGCGCCCACCCTGCAGCTGCGTCAAGCCCAACGCCGAGAGCCGCCCCGGCAGCCTGGCGCCCGAGTACGTGTTGGAGCAGCTGCGGGCGGGAGGGGTGCTGGAGGCTGTTCGCATCGCGTGCGCGGGTGCGTGGGCAGGGGGTGAACTGAAGTTTAGGGTTTTGGAGGCCGTGCGCAGCGCGTGTGTGTGGCACCGGTACCAGCAGCCCGCCTCCAGCTTGCAGCCAGCTGTCCTGCTGGATACATGGGCGAGCAGCTGGCCGGCCTCTTCCCCCTCCTGCCGTTTTGGGGTTTTGCCCACGCAGCGCTGGCGACCCGCCTGTGCCCATCAGCCCTGCGCCGCCCCTGCCCGCTCGACGCCCCCCCGCAGGCTTCCCCACCCGCAAGCCCTTCCTGCCCTTTGCCCAGCGCTACGCCCTGCTGCTGCCGGAGGCCGCGGCTGGCGCCAAGGGCGGCGGTGGCGCGCTGTCCCTGCCTCTCACCCCCTCTGGCTTCATCGACTGGTTTGCTCTCACCGAGGAGCAGGTGCGTCTCATTTTTTGCATTTCAGTTTACGTGTGGGTGCAGTGTGTGAGTTGCTTGCCCCCGCCCAGCCCAGCCCAGCCCCGCCCTGCCCCGCCCTGGCCCGCCCTGCTTGTCAGCGATGCGTGCCTCCCGGCCTCCGGTCCGTCCCTGTGGCCTGTCTGTGTATTTCTCACTCCTGCGGCGGCTGATCTATTCACGCTTTCCTCCCCAACCTGACTCCCCCCCACCCCACCCCATCACCACCACCACACCACCACACCCGCTCCCACACCTGCACCAACGACAGGTGGCCGACATCTCCCGCCGCGTGCTGTTTGCCAGCCAGCTGGACGGCTGGCAGCTGGGCAGGAGCCGGGTGTTCCTGCGTGCGGGCCAGCTGGCACAGCTGGAGGTGAGGGAGGGGCGGGGGGAGGGGAAACCCACGTTTGGCGTATAACCAAACACATGTGTATGTGTAGTGGTGAAGCATTGTGTGTGTGTATGTGTGGTGTGTGTGTGCACGCGCGCACGCTTAGCGGCGAGCCTTACTGTCTGCCCGCCTGCCCGCCTGCAGGGCGCGCGCGGCCGCCGCCTGAGCGCCGCCGCCGTCAAGGTCCAGTCGGCGTGGCGGGGCATGGAGGCGCGGCGCCAGCTGCGCGCCGCGCGGGCGGCGGCGGTCGCCATCCAGGCCGCGTGGCGGGGGCGCGCAGGACGGGCGGCTGCGCGGCAGCTGCGCCAGGACCGCGCCGCGGTACGGCTGCAGGCCGCCTGGCGCATGCACCGCCAGCGCTCCGCGTACCAATTACAGCGGCGGTGAGGCCGCGCGCCCGCCTGCCTGCCTACCTGCGGGCTTGCTGGGGCTGGGGCTGTGTGTTCAGTCGCAGAGGACGCAAGTCGCCGCATGAGGCCGCTTCGGCAGAGCTGGCTGCCGCGCCGCGCGCGTCCCTGCAGCCACCCGCTCGCCGGCCGTTTCTTTATCCTGCCTGGTCGTTTTTGGCTGCCCTGATCCTCCCGCTGCTCCCCGCCTGCCCCCTGCAGCACCCGCGCCGCCACCACCATCCAATCCTACGCCCGCATGCGGCAGCTGCGCCGCCGCTTCCTCAGGCACGCATGTGGGGTTTGTGCGCTTGGAGGCTGCGTGCCCGTGCCTGCCGGCCTCCCAGCGCCCGCCCGCCGTGCCACTGCGCTGCTGGGAAGCTGGCAGGCCCCGCCTTCCTCGTGTGTCGGCTTTTTCCCACAGGCCCCGCCTCGCAGCCATGGCACTGCTGCCACGCCCTGCACCCGCTCAACCGTGACCCCACGCCTGCCCGCAGGCCCGCCCACCCTCCACCCTTCACCTTCCACCCCGCTCCCTTTGCCGCCGCCGCAGGGACACGGAGCTGGGCAAGAAGCAGGCGGCTCGCGCGGCGGACGAGGCGGCTCGGGCGGCGGCCGCCACCGCCATCCAGGCTGCGGTGCGGCGCCTGCTGGCCCAGAAAAAGGTGACGGGTGGTGGTGGGTGGGGGGGTGAGGTGCCTTTGCCTGGCTCGGGGGCAGGTGCGAGTGTGGTGGCCTGCCGCCGCCTGCCTGCTGGATCAGAGGCAGGGAAGAGGGGGTGCCTCCCCGCTCCCGAACCTCCCTCGCTGCGCGCATCTCCCCACCTCCCCACCTCCCCACCCCTTTTGGCACACACATACACACCATCGCACCCGCCCTACCGACACTCCCGCCGCCACCCCTGCGCCGCGCCCGCAGGCCGAGCAGCTGCGGCGGGCGGCGGCCAGGCTGCGGGAGCTCTCCTCGCAGCGCGACGCTCTGCTGGAAGACAAGGAGGCACTGGCGGCGGCGCTGGCGGCCGCCACGGCTCGGGCGGAGCGGGCCGAGGGCGAGGTGGCCTCTCTGCAGGCAGGCCGGGGCGGGGCTGCTGGGCGGGGCTGGGCGGCCGGCGGGGGGTGCCGGCAGGCCTGCTGGGCTGGGCGGCTGGCGGGGAGGGCGTGTGCGCGGCTGCGGCTACTGCGGCACAGTGGGTGTGGGCGGGGCGGCATCCCCAGCCCCGGCGTGTGTCATGGGGATCGGGACCGGGGAGCACGCTGCGACAGTTGTGCCTGGCAGCTGTGCCCTCGGCTTCTACCTGCGGGCCTCCCCCCAGCGCGCCGCCGCTCCCCCTGCCTGCCTCCCTTTGGCCCCCTGCCCATCAAAACAGTATTTCCATTCATTAGCCATTCATTAGCATTCTTGCTCCTTGCCCCCGCAGGCCCAGGTGGGCCAGCCTGTCGTCCGAACTGGAGGCCAGCCAGGTGCAGCTGCGGTCGGCGCAGGCGGCTGCCTCGCAGGCAGCCAGCGCCGCCAGTGCCGGCGCCGCCGCTGCTGCTGCTGCGGCGGCGGCGGCCGAGCTGCAGGCGGCGCATGCCAGGGTGGAGAGCGCGCTGCAGCGGGAGATCGAGGTGCTGCGTGGGCAGCGCGCCGTGGCGGACGCACAGCAGCAGCAGCTGGAGGGGGAGGTGCGCAGGCTGCTGCTGTGTGGGCCTGCTGCCGTGGGCTGTGTGTTGCTGTGCGGCGTGTGTTGCTGTGGGTCTCATGTTGCTGCAGCCGCCGCGGCGGCGGCCGGTGCGTGCGTCGCCTGCGCCGCCCGCCGTGCCGGGCGCACTGAGTGGCAGCTCCTTGCTGCCCTACGCTGCCCTGCGCTGCCCTGCGTGTGTTGTGTCCCCCTGCCTCCTGTCGCACACCATGACCTTAGCACCTCAATACCCCTCCCACCCACCCCCCACCTTCTCCCCCGGCAGGTGCGCGACCTGCAGCAGCAGGTGCGCGGCAAGCGGGAGCAGCTGGATCAGGTGATTGCGGCTGCGCAGGACAAGGAGCGGGAGAACACGGCGCTGTGGGAGCAGGTCAAAGGGGGTGAGCGAGGCAGATTGGGGGGGGGGGGGGGGGGGGCGGGTATCTCGCCTCGGGAGGTATATGGAGCGTGCGCCGCCCATCTGTGCTCCCCCCCTGGGTCCTGCCTGGATACCCGCCGTGGCATGCCTGCTGCTGTGCATGGCACCCGCGGCGCCCCCGGATACCCCATCATCCTGCCTGGATACCGATATACCACCGAGCGGGATACCCGGGTCGCACCGCAGGCCGCCCAGGAGTACCAGCGCGAGTTTGCGGCCAAGGACGCCGCGCTGGGCACGCTGCGGGGCGAGCTGGAGGCCCTGCGGGCGCAACTGCTGGGCCAAGTGCGGCCTGCCTGCTGTGGCTGCCTGCTGTGGCTGTCTGCTGCCTGGCTGGCGTGCTGTGGCTGCCTGCTGGCTGGCCTGCGTGCTGCGTCTGCTGCTGCAGCTGGCCTGCTGTGGCTGCCGCTGCCTGGCTTGCCTGCTGTGGCCGCTGCTGCCTGCCTGCTGTTGCTGCTGCTGCTGGGCTGTCTGTTGTGGCCGCTGCTGCTGCCGCGCTGCTGTCTGCGGCTGCTGCGTTCTGCTGCTGTTGGCTGCCGCTGCTTGCTGCTGGCCAGCGTGCCGCTGCTTGCTGGCGTGCTACTGCCTGCCGGCGTGCTGCCTGGCTGCTGCTGCTGGCTGCACATGAAAGGCAGAGGATGGCTGCTGGCCGCGGTGCAAGTCAACACAGCGCCGGTCTGTCTGAACTGGCACCCCCCCCGCTGCCCGCTCCCCTCCCCGTGCAACCCCCGCAGGTGGCCTCCCTGCAGGGAGAGCTGGAGGCGCAGCGGCGGGAGGCCGCCGCGGCCGAGGAGGCCCGCCGCTGCGCGCAGGACGCCGCACTGCAGGCCCAGCGACGGGAGGCGGCGGCCGCCGAGGCCGCCCGTGGCGCCGCGGCGGCGGAATCGGAGGAGAAGGCGGCGCACCTGGCGGCGCGGGTGAGCCCTGCCGTGGCCGCTGCGCCTGATCGCCTGCGCGCGGGAGCGGCTGCTGCCCCCGCAGCCGCGGCGCCGGCCGCTGCGGCTGCCGCGTGTGTCTGCCGCCCACCTGTCAGCCCTGCCCAGAGCTTTAATTTGGCCAGCTCGTGTCAGCTCATGCTGCCGCTCCCCCTGCCTCTTTCCCGCACAGGTGGTGGCCCTCAGCAGCCGCACGCAGCGGCTGGAGGAAGATCTGCGTGGGGCGGCGGCGCGGGAGAGGGCGCTTCAGGAGGAGGTGGCGGCCGCCAAGCGCGCCGCCGCCGCCCTGCAGCGCACCCCCTCCAAGATCAGCGGTGAGGCGGCGGCGGTGGCGGCGGCGGCGGCGGCGGCCTGGCAGGGCCGGGCAGGGCCTGGCCTGGCAGGGCCTGGCAGGGCCGCCTGCTGCAAGCCTCTGGCTGGCGGGGAGGGCCAGGGGCTGCGCTGGGCGGTATGCAGCAGAGGGGGCGGGGGGCTGCTCGACAAAGGGCTCGATGCTCTGCGGCGGCGAGCAACACACAACGTTGCCGTCCCGTTCCAGCCAACAGCATGCCCTGCTTGTCCCGCTTCCACCTGCTGCGCAGCCATCTCCACCCCCGTCGCCTCCCGCACGTTGTCCGACCAGTTTGAAGCGGCAGGCATCCCCGCATTCCCCTCTGGCCTGGCCCCCGCGGGCGCCGTGCTGGGCGAGCAGCGCGCGGCAGCGGTACAGGCGCTGCTGGCCGCTGCGGTACATCGGCGTCTGCAGATGGTGGCGGTGCCGCTGGGGCCGGCAGGTGGGCTCATCAGGGGGCATGGCAGCTTGCCCGCTCTGGTGGCTGCACGGCAGGGCAGGGCGGGGCAGGGCAGGCAGGGCACGGCACGGCAGGGAGGGTGCTGTTGAACTGCCGCAGGCAGCTTCCAGCCAGCTGCCTCCCAACCCGCTGCCTCCAACCTGCTGCCCTCCAACCACCCGCGCCCCCCACCTTTGCAGGCCCGGCCCTCAGCATCCCGCTCGCCTCCTGGCTGCTATGCGAGAGCCTGATCCGGTGGGCAGGCGCTTGGCAGCAGCCGGAGATCGATGCCGCCACAGACGCCCTGCAGCGAACCATCGTCGCCGCGGCAGACGGCGGCGGCATGCACGGCCAGGCGTACTGGCTGGCCTGCTCGCTGGCCGCTGGCGGGCTGCTCAAGTTCCGCACCATCGGGCGCCGCGAGGGCGGCCACCTGCTGCGCCTGGGTGAGACAGAAAAACAGAGCGGCCAGCTGGCATGCCCTGCACCACACCTGCCTGCAGCGTGCGCTTGCATCTGCGTCTGCTGCTTGTCGCTGCTTCTGCTGCTGCACCTGGCGTGCTGTAGTTGTTTGGGGTACCCACCCCGCCATGCATGCTGCCCCCCCACAAACTCAAACCTCACATGCCCCCTCTATCCTGCAGGCGACTCGCTCATCAACTGCCAGCCGGTGCATGCGGCGCTGGGCGACTCGATCGCAGACATGCTGCCCGTCAATGTGGGGGTGAGTGGCTAGCAGTACGGTCTGCTGCCTGGCCCCCTGGCTTCAGTTAGGTGTAACCTGACTGCTTGCGCGGTACCATCGGCGCAAGCAGGCGCTTCAATTGCACCATCTGCCTGACCACCTCCCTGCCTGACCACCTCCCTGCCTGCCCGCCTGACCACCCCCGCCTTGCATGCAGGTGCTCCTGTCGGATGAGGCGAAGCGGGTGGCTCGGCGGCGGGGGCACACGCCTGCACCCGATGAGAGCCCCGGCGGCGGCGGCGGCGTTCGGAACCCGTGGCGGGTGCGCTGCTGGTGCCATGGTCCCCTGGGGCCTCGATCTGGGCTGGTCACCCTCTGCCTGCTGCTGCGGTGCTCGAGGGGGATGCCAGGGCAGCAGGCGCAGCGCTGAGGCAAGCCCCGAGCCTGCCCGCTTGCCTCCCTGCCTGCCCACCTGGTTTCCTGCCTGCCTCCCTCCCTCCCCCACCCATGCTCCCTGCCAGGCGCTGCTGGGCGGCGTGAGCAACGTGCTGGAGACGCTGCGGGGAGAGGGAGTGCCGCCCCCCGCCGTCCGCGCAGTGGCCTGGGCGTGCCTGCGGTGAGCGGCGCCGGCCTGCAGCGCAGATGCGTCGATTGGGGTCCCTGCTCAGCTGCAGCTTGTCGCAGCCGGCGCACGGCTCGCTGCACCGATCCGCGTCTTGCATGCACCGCCAGCTGTAGCAGCCGTAGCAAGGCGTGTCCAGGCTCCCTGGCCACCACAGCCCTCTCCCACCCTCCCCCCTTGCCCCTGCCTGCAGCTACATTGACGGCGAGCTGCTGAATGCGCTCCTGCTGCGCCGTGACTGCTGCTCTGTATCGGCGGCCAAGGTGGGAAGGACAGGGGCAGCTGGTGGGGTTCGGCCAGGACGCTGAGGGGGGCCATCCTGGCCTGCCAAGCTGTGCGTGCCTTGCTTGCCGAGCAAAGGCCCAGCCCGCTGCTGCCGCACTCCCCTGGCCTGCTGAGCCATGCCCTCCCGCGCCGCCCTTGCATGGCTGTGCACCGCAGGCGCTGCAAGCCGGGCTGGCGGAGCTGCGCGGCTGGGCGGCGTATGTGGGCGGCGAGTGGTGCTGCGGCGCGGAGGAGGCGGAGGGCGCGATTGAGCGAGTGACTCAGGCGGCGCGGTACCTCGTGCAGGTGTGGGGTATGCGGTACTGTTTGTATGCCTTACTGGTGGGAGTGATGAGGTGGAAGGGAGGGAGGGGTCGCCGGTGTTGGGAGGATATGGGGAGGTACATCCTGTCTGGGCTGGCGGTGTCCACCCAGCTCCCGTGGCCACCCACCTCCCGACCGCTGCCCTGTAGCCCCTGCCCTGCACCGCACCGCCGCATGCTAGGTCATTCCTATACCGCCTGTACTGCCTGTACTGCAGGGCAAGGACGACTGCGTGCGCAAGGCGTACCGCGGGGTGGACATTGTGGCCGACCTGGCCCGCTCCTGCCCCGCGCTCAGCCTGCAGCAGGTGTGCGTGTGTGTGTCTGTGTGCGTGTGTCTGTGTATGGGTGTGTATGTTTGTCTATGTGCGTGCACGGGATGGCAGCTGGTTAGGGGGGTGGGTGTCCACCTCACCTTGGGAGGCTGTTGACGGTCATGGTGTGGCGGGAGCCGGCACCTGCTGGGGGTGCTGACCAGGGCGGCTGATGAGCTGGCGCCACATAAGTGTATGTGCCTACGTGCCCGCCTGCCTCCCCCTGCAGGTGTACAAGCTCACAGAGCACCAGCACGACGACTGGATCGTGGGTGGGTGCCTGTGGCCGGGGCTGTGCTTCCTGCTGTGTGATGCTGCTTAGCGCAGGAGTGCCGGCAACTGGAGCTGTCGGGTGGGTGCCCCGCCGCCAGCTGCTGCCTCCCCGTCCCACGACTGCCTC